CAAGAGTCTCTTAGGAAACTGCCCGATGCACTGCCACTGCCACCACCCAATGGAATTAACTGTAAACTGTCCTTGCTCCTTTCTCTCACTCCAGATTCAAGTCCCCAATCAAGCGTATTTGACTGGCACAGTTTGGGTCATGGTTACCAGGGGTCCAGGACAGAAAGTGTATGTGTGTATGCATACAAGTTACATTTCATTTCTAGTTTCCTTTCCTAGTAAGATTCAAAAAAGGCCACGGTGAAATAGGGTTAAAAATGGAAAACAAACAAAAGAAACAACAAAGGACCTCATTAAAGCTCAATCAGTAAAATGTCCAACACAGGAAGCTTGTCTGTCTTCCCATTAGCAATAACCTTTAATCACTGTGACTTCTGATTCATTTTCAAGAAAAAAAGAATTTCCTTAAAATAATTTCACAAAGTAAAAAATTTTCAAGAGTAAAATTTATAACCTTTCTCAGGTATCTCCTTCCCAACTGCCATTCAAAGGTTACAAGCACTTGTTACCACCATACCTATACACTATCCTGACAGAAATGGAATTAATTTGAATCACAATGGTTTCAAATAAGCACACTATTGTTACAAAAGTACATTTATCACCTGAAGCAATCTGACAGATTAAATTCTGGCTGTGAAATTCAGATAACTAACTGAATTAGATTCATGCAAGTATCTGAGACTATAAGGTTTTGGAACCAGTGAAAATTGTTTCTGTACCATTTGCTCCAAAAGTCACTGAATAAACTACACTACAAACAAGCCACTCAGTAGCGATAAATTTTATCAAATATTTGCAGCTACAGGGGCCCTGAAAGGCTTCAGTTTCCTCTGAATATAAGTACATAGGCTATTTGTTACATTTTAAAAACGATATAGTTTTTATAATTGAGAAATTAAAAAGTAGTGACTAATATATCGCAAAATATACATTTTTAGTTTACCTTCATTTTACTCACAAGCATATCTAAAAATCTCTTTTCAAGAACAAACCCAGCTTCTAATCCAAACATTACTTTTAAGTTAGAAGAGCAGACTCTGGATCAGGCTGGCTCTACCATATACTCTGTGACTATAGACAAGACACTTCACCTCTTTTCGCTTCAAATCACTTATCTGTAATTTGGAAATTGTTGGAAACTTGACAATTAAATGAGTGAATATATGTAAAGTGTTCTGAATAGTGCCTGGATGTTTTCCCCAGGGAAATTTAAAAACAAAAAACAAAAAAACGGAGGGGGAAGAGGGAGTCCTGGTCTATATTGAGTACACAATAAATGTTAAGAATAAAATGCTTAAAAGTTTGGGGGTTGGGGGGCTAAACAATAGAAAAAAGATGCAGTTTTGAGAAAAGGAATCTTTAGATCAAGTAGGCTAAGAAAACTATTCACTAGTAACCAAAACTAGAAAACAAAACCACTGCAAGCCCAGCACATTTAGCTCAAATTTTTAGTACAATAAATAAATACTAGGTTGGGGAAAAAAAAAGGACAAGAAACAAACTACCTGGAAAAGTTAATACTGAATTGGACACAGAACCAAACAAACACTCCATTTTACAAGCATATCGAGAGAAAATAACTAATACAATTTCTCTATACTGCTCAATAGAGAAACTGTGAGAAAATGATATAGATGAGAATCATTGAACAAACCAGGAAAAAAAAACTACCAATTTACAGAAAATCAGGAAAATCCAGAATGTGGGAAACTACAGGACAAAGACCTGGTTTCTTCAACAAAGTGCAAGGAAAAAACCAAAAGAAACATACAAACTAAGAGGCTTGAAAGAATATCAGTCAATTAATTCAGTGTGTGGGACCTGGACCTTGAATCAAATAAACGAGAAGTCAACAGAAAAGTAATATCTAGAAAAAGGAAACACAAAACCCCCAAAAGTTCTACGTGCAAAAATCTGTTCAGATGTCACTGAATTTCACTCAACTGTTAAAAGGATGTTCATTAAAGACAATTTCAAACAATTTACTTAACAGTTATGAAGCATTTACAACAGTCAGGTATTGTATTAAGCACTGTATTCATTTACCACAATAACCCTAAGAGAAGGTACTATTATCCACATTTAACAGAGGAAGAAACAGGCAAAAAATCTTAGCTAAAACTCCATGAAGGTCATAAAACTATGAAGTGGCAATGCTGAGATTCAGACCCAGGCTATAAAGTTGCTGCCCATTTAACTACCATACCATGCCATCTCTCTACATGATGTGGTGAAAACTGGGCTTTGGAATGAAAGGAAGCTGTCCGAATCCCCACCTTTCATTATGTTATGCAAATTACTTAACTTCTTGGATCCTCTGTACACTCACTCATAGAAGGGTTAATATCACCTATTCCAAACAAGTGTTTTAAGGAATAATGAGATCACATATTTTGGACTCTACTACAACCTCTAGTTTATGAAGTCCACAATAAATGGTTCCCACTCCCCTTCCCATCATACCTGGTAAGACTAATTAAAAAGCAAAGTTAATAAACACATAGCTGTAACACTGCAATAGTTCTACCTTTTAATTAACTAACCAAAGAACCCCCAAACCATCTTTTCAACATACTTGTATATTTCAAGGATAGTTAATGATTCAGTAGAGGATTTTTTTATATAGTGCAGTTTAAACTTACAATCAGCAGAAATAAGAGTTTGCAATCTAAATTTAAAGTATAGCTGAATTTAAATGAATTCGATTATTTCTGAAAACAATCAAACAAAACGTATTCCACATAAGTAGACCTACTGCTCTGAAAAGTGTACTGAAACTTTTTCACGTTGGTTATTCTCTAGCCTGACTCCAGTTAATATAAGGCAAAGTAGTTTTATCATAGAAAGGGAAGGTAAACTTAATGAGCATGCCAGAAATCAGCTCCTCCAAGAAAGATAGCTTTCTAATGTTGCTATCCTGTGAAAAATTTTGTGCTTATCTGTTAAACTAAGTTCTTAGGTGGCAGAAATGTTTTAGTCACTAGGTATTCGTAGCACTTAAACACAGTGGAACTAGCACCATAGTATAGCCTATAGCATTTCTTAAAAGAAAGTATTTCTTAAAATCATGATGGAGCTGTTTTGCCTGAAAAATGAAAAATAATTTTTCCAACAGATGAATTAAAGGCTGATTATTTGCTTTAGTAAAGAAAAACCTATTAGACTCCTTAAATATTTGCCCAGTATATTTGTAATCGCCTGTAAAAATTAAACTTACATAACACAAGCAATATTTTACCTCATTAGTTAAGATACATAAACCTGTGGACAAAAGTTCAGCTTCTCTCACTGAATTATTTTAAGTTTGAGTAGCCAGTTTTGTTTTGAGCAGACCAGTGGGAAATAAATAAAAACTGGAGCCTGATTTTGGAGTTACTTGGGCAGCTAGGTCTCAGCACAAACACATTTAATTCTAGACAATGGCAACTATAGTCACTTATGAAGTAGTATGTTTTTCTATGCATCACCTAGATTTGACCCCCTTGAAAAACCATAAATGCATACAGCACCAAAATTTGCCTTTTCCATGGACCACTTTTCAGTTGGGATACTTAAAAAATTTTTTTGCATCTCATCTTTCCAATAGTATTACTTTTATTTTCATGGTTAAAAGGATGCACAGTGACTTGGAAACAGATTGCTTAGGTTTAAATACAGGATCTGCTATCTACTAGCTGGATGAATCTCTGGACTTATTTTCCTCAACTAAAAAATAGGGACAAAACAATTATCTACCTCATAGAAATAAATTATTAAATATAAAGCACTTCAAGCAAAAGTCAGCCCCTAGTACATTAGAGTTATGACTGTTATTAAGTGCATACAATTCAGTCATAAAACAAAGATATCAATCTTCTGAAGTATGATTCAAAATTATGTTTTATCTTTAACTGATCATTTAAAAATTATAAGCAGAAACGTGTCAAATAGCCACTGACGAAGAAAACTGGTTAGCTGAATTCATTCGAAATAAAAATGGCTCTCTAACATTCCACTCCACCCCAATTTCAAAAGCTCTGATAAGATAGTATTCAAAATCAACTAGAAAATATTTATATCAATACGCACAATCTGTTTTGAGCAACACCCCAACAAATCAGAGTAATAAGGTCTCATCCAAGTTTATGGGTCCAATAGTGAACAACGGCAAAACACAAAGCAAATGACTTGTAATTTCTGTAAAGCACTTCGAATGTCTGTCTTGTAAAACCACCAAAATAATTTAAGAACGACAAAAATCCTAGGGGAATGGACAAAAGCAAACTTTTGTATTGAAGGAATGTAGAGACCTAAATTGAAACTGACTCCCTAGGGAAGCAAGATGACAAGTTTATTTTACTATTAATTCCAAAGTTCTCACTGACAATTAGCATTTGATTATTTTATCTTTTAGACAGGTTGCAAATTGAAACTCAGACATTTTCCCAAATACTGAAGTTAACTGTTTTAGGTTTCTATTCTATGTCTTTTTGTTTTCAGTTAAACTTCTTGATCTAATGCTAAAAACAAAAAAGCAGCAAACAAAAAGACAGCCTTTTGTTTGAAAGGGCACAACAATCAGTCACTCCATATCTAAAGTTTGTTTTCACTTGTTGCCTTACACTCTCCTAATAAATATTTCAAACAGCACTCTGATTTTCTTTCAGGTATTACACATAAAAGACATTAGAAAATGCCAGCAGTCCACCAAACTATAAATCTAAGTCTACTGAAGACTACCAATAACTTGGATGGGATTTCCACTGAACGTGACTTCTGTAACTACAGTAAAACATGAGCCACCATTAACTCTGTTTTTTCCTGATTAGCGGTAAATATTAAGGTTAAGAGCAAGTATTTCAAAAAACAGGACAAATCAACCTCAGAGCACAAAGCTGCCTGATAAAATTAACACCACAGCACAATTTCAAAACTATAAGCAACTACCAAAAAAACAAAACAAAACCGCACCCACTCTTATGTAAACTTTTGGAGTAAGCAAACTTCTTTAGCCTCACCTTTGTTTTTACCTAGCAGGGACTCTTCAAGATAAGACACCAACTGCAAGAAGATCAAAAGATCCAGTTATCGTTCCCTTAAGAGAAATAACTAAGAATTCAAGACATGTTAATGTATTTAATTTACCGAGCTCGGGGCACTTCCCCAAGCTACAGCCATTTTAGATTCAGTCTTTCTTCTCAATTTCACGGGGGTGGGGAGAGGTAGACATTAAATAGAAACAAATTCTCTTTAGAACACTTCAAGATTGACCAGCTTTTCTTCTGGGGTGGGGGTGGGGGCTGGTAGGTGGGGGAGAGACCATCTGAAAAACGAAAACACCTCGCTACGAAGGGGAACTGGAAGGCTGGGGGGGGAGCAGAGGAAGTTAAAGCTCTTCTTTTTCCCTCAAATACCCAACATTTAACCATTTGACTTAGATTCTTTTTTCCTTAGGTGTCCCATCACTGGATAACAAAAGCCCTTGGCTCTAATTTAGGAAAGAAAAAGAAACCCATAAGCCAAGCTACTCAACCACCAACAAGCCGGAACGCCTGGAGAGGAGCCAGAGAGCCGCAGGTGAGCGTTCCGACCCGAAGACCAAAGTTGAAGTAGGAGCGCTCTGGCAAGTCGCGGTGACGCTCGGGTGCAAAGCTCCACGTGCCGGGAACGGTGCCCCGTCCCAATCACACGACCCGTGGGCTCTGCGCTCGGTCCCCAGGCCGACCTACACCCAACCACCTGTGTGAGAGCCCCCTTCAACTTGTTTGAACAGCCGGCCGGTTAGGCACCAGGCGGAGCCCCGCGCCGTACGACTCAAGATCCCCCTACTGCCCCGTGGTCCGGAACTCCCACTCACCGGGCAGCGGCGGGGCTACAGCTCCAGACAAGATGCGGCGTTTGAGGGGCGCGTCCCCAGCTTTCTGATCCGGCAGAGGTGTAGAGCCCACAACCATAACAAAGCTCTTCCCAAAATGGCTGCCCGGCCCACAAGGCCCAGGAGGGGCAGAGCGGTGGAGGGGGAGGAGCTACGACCAGTCCGGCCCTGCCCCCGTCTGACCCCGCCTCACACACGCCCACCCACTCGCACCGCCCACAAGAGCGCACGCGCATGAGCCCTGTTCCGGTGACCCTGCAGGCGCCACACGCCGCCAACGTTCCGCCCCGTGAACGGCAGTTATTGCCTGCCCCGCCCCCAGCCTCCTCCATCACGGCTTTCGGCGGCGCTTGGTCGCCCCCGCCCCTCTGCACAGTTGAACTCTCTCTCCTCGCGCCGCCTCAGAGGCGGAGACGAGCCGAGTTTGGTACTCCCCTTCAAATCCCCTTGCACGGCACTAGGGCCGGGTGCGTGTGAGTGGGTGTGTATGTGTGTACCCGTTTTTCCCCGCCCCTTCGTTCTGCACCTCCCCACACCCCACCTCTGAGAAAGCATGCGTTCCCCCAACTACTTTTACGAGTACTAACAGCGGTTTCGTGGGATGGTCTGCTTTCCGACCCCTTCCCACCTTCGGCTCCTTCCTTCCTTCACGCGCGTCGTTAAGACTCCAGCCCCCAACGGGCCACACGCCTGGGCTCTAGAGGCCTGCGCTGCTGGGCCCGACGCGCTACCCGCTGGGAGTGGTAGTTCCGCCTGACCGCTGGCGTCACGCCCCTGTCCCAGTGCCGCGCGGGTTTCTGGCCAGAGCCTGCTCCTGTGCCAGGGCGGAGAAGCTGTTTCTCTGACCGAAAGTCTCATTGGGTATCGCACGACGGGAAGGGGCGGCGCTGCCATGACAAGAGATGGAAATAAAAGTAAACTAGAAGGGATCACTATCAGGAAGAATTCGCTGTGAGCCAATTCTGCACAGGAAGCTAAGCCATATGATGACCCGCATTCGGAAAGCTAGACTACTCGGAATCCAGAGGAATGGATGAACTGGCTAGCGTGGGCCCCTTGGACTCTCCTATTGACTTTAGAATGACGCGCAAATTGCCTGATGATGTTTCCTTTGACATACTGAAATGGAGGCCCAGAGAAAGGAAAGGACTTGCTCAAGGTCACACAACCTACAAATAAAAGTTAAAGCAGAAGGTGACAGGAGGAATGATCTAACTTCCGGGTCACCTTCAAGCCCAAGGCTCTTATCACCACACCTTTCATGGCAGTGAAAGTCCCGCCCCTTATGCTCTTTACTTCTTAATGAAGTTTCCTGATCCCAGCAGAAAGAATGAAGTGGAAAGTTTTTTTCTTTTTCTTAAATAGCATTAGTAGTTCAGGATCCTAGTATAAGGAGTGAGATCCTAGAAACCCTGTTATTATGCAAAGTAAAAAATGAGTTCCAGAGATGGCAAGCAATTTGGCCAAGTCATACTTGGCCTAGACTCCAAATCGCTATCTTCACTGACATTGTTTCAGTAGTTGCACCCTACCTTCCCGAACTCTGCGGGTCATATTTCCCTGGGCTGGCTGGGAAACCTGGAATAGAGAAGCAAGAACTGTTCAGGAACTCTACAAACTTCAAAAAGCCGGCTTCCACTTGATTTTAAAGAAATAGCCCGACAGAAAAACCCGGTGTGGGAACAAGTTAGTGGTGGTTGAGTCCCCACCCGAACTCATTTTTCTCGGCTCTCAGGAAGTGGGGGGGCCATCTGACCCCATCTGCCGGAAGTGCCTTTTCCAGAGTGCCGGGCTATTCTTGCAGCTTAGTTTTCCACCTCTCCGCGCAACGCTGGCAAGTAAGTAGTAGGGCTGCTGCCACTGGTGCAGCTTGGGAAGGGTGGGTATAGAGGGTTAGGAGTAAACTGAAGCCGGAGAGACTGTCGGACAGTTTCCCGAGGATCTTTGCGTCCAGACTCCGCCCCCTTTTCCCTGTTGTCGGCTCTGAGGTTTACAGATTGAAACTTTCATTTGGGGCAGTGGAAATATTGAGCATTTTCACCTAAACTGAGCAGATTAACCCTTAGCTCTTTGTCTTTAATTCCCTCACCAGTTGCCATTCCCTGGGCTTTAAGCTGTCTCTTTTTCACTTTAATACTCCTGAGTTGGAAAGCACATGTCACAGTGCACAGGGAGTTCGGAAGGTTCAATTTTTTTAATGGGGTGGTCTTGAAGTCCCTTACGCGGCCATGCCGATATGTGTCTGGGAGTCAGGAGGTGGATGTGGGTATCATCTAACATCTACTTAGAGGCGGATAACTTAACGTCTACTTGCTTCCTTAAATATAGAATGAAGACATTGACTGGCTGGTATACAGAATTTCTCGACCCAGCCCTAAGATCTGTGATCAAGAAATTAGTTCACTAAATATTTAGATTAAGCAGAAACTATGTTTTGGATTTTTAGACACTTCATTCTCGTGGTTAAGAATCAGACTCATAAACATGACAGAGTTGGATTCACATTCTCACTCATCCATTTACTAGCTGCTTACATTGTGTAAGGTGGGAATAATAGTATATTTTGAGTGCCTACTTTGTGTTAGGGACATTTCTCAGCTCTTTACATGTATTAACTTTAGTTTTTACAGTGACCTTATGTAGTTACTATAGGCTTTATAGGTGAGTGAACTCCACCTTAGCCAGGTTAAATAATTTGCCCAAGATCACATAGCTAATACATGGTGGAGCCAGGTTTCCAATCCACATTGTTTGACTCCAAAGTCTGCACTCTTACTTAACAGGCTATTCTGTCTCTCAGCACCAAGTTGATGAGGTCACTGTATTAAATGAATTAGTGCATGTAAAACACCTGGTTACTGTGCCTGGTTCACAGCTAAATTGTATTGGCTGCTGCTATCATTATTTTGAGCTGTAAACTCCTAAGCCACAAAATAGATAACTAAGGGGAAAAAAGAGAACAGAGAAGCTATGACTTTCAGTGTTTAAGACAATAAAGCTGGTACTTCAGTGAAGCAATTTACCTAAGGTCACACAGCTGGGAAACACGGAAGTAGTTGTAAAATCCAGGTCTATTGTCTCTGTGAATTATTCTTTCTGCTACACCAAACAGCAAAAGCTAAAAGAAAGGTTCAGAGAAGAAAAGGATCTGTTTACTTAATGTTTTACTGATTTTTTGAAAACATTAATGATTGTTCTCAAAGGAAACTGTTATATAGAAGAAATTCCCCCTACTTACTACTTTAAAAAATTATGTATAAAATGAAGAAAATTGACATCTTGTTTTGTACACAGCAACATGCTTCTGATTCAGCCCTTCCACTTAGCTGTAAAAATAAATTAATCAGAACGCCCTGGCATCTTCCTTAGCGAGACTTTCAGTGGGACCCAGTATGCTTCACTTCATCCAGAAGTTTTCTCAAGCACCTTCAAAGGTTGGTTTATTCAGCAAATATTTGAGCACTACTTTCCAGGCATTTCTTTGTAACTAATAGTGAAATTTCACTAACAGTGAAAAAGAAGACAAAAATCCTTACCCTTTTACATTCCGGTTGTTCCAGGGAAGTGGATAAAATACAAGTGAAATATTTAATTTGTCAAGTGGTGAGTGCTTTGGAGAACTATAGCTCAGGGACGGGGAATAGGGAACAGCAGACTTAGGGACTGCACTTATAAACAGGGTGGTCAGAAGTGAGGGAATGAGCCTTGCAGGCAGCTCAAAGAACATTCTAGACAAAAGGAAAAAGAAGGCCTCAAGATGGAATCATTCCTAGCATTCTGAGTAATCACCAAGATTCTTAAATGACTTTCATTTTTTTGTTCAACATTTTTTGAGTTACTGTTGATCTGTTCATCAGTTGAAGTATGAAATCTGCTCACTAAAGCACAGAATCAACAGGAAAGGTTATTGATTTGGCCATGTACCGTGAAAAGCACTGGGGATTTTTTTTTTAAGGCAAAGAAAAAATGATCCTGGCTCTCGAGTCTACTGAGACAGACAAGTAAACATGATTTTAATTTACTGTGAGATTATGATGGAAGTGTGCATAGGGTACTTACATATAGAAGCATTAAATCAGACTGGAGAAAGCTTCAAGCTGAATTTTGAAAGATACGTTCCCTAGATAGAAAAGTGGTAAGCTAGAATTCTGGCAGAGACAGCGTAGAAAGGCATGAAGCTATGAATAGTATGCAGTGTCTAAAGCTTAATTTTTTCTACATAAAATAGCACTGCCACAGTAGTTAGTACCACTTCTTTTGCAGTTTATAAATAGAAGAGGCAGTTGAGAATGCCAAAAACTAAAGACCTAGTCTTTTCCTGTTTCTCCTTCAGTTATTTCTCTCATAGGATAAGATTAGTGGTAGGCGGAAACTTATCACTGGTTTCTATTCAGTAGTTTCTTTTGCATATTGTATAGCTGTTTGATAGTCTTTGCCACCAATAACAACATCACCCTGTAGCTCAATCTTTCTTTAAGTTCAGTGTATTAACAGAAAGCAGATTGTTATTGTATTGTTTCAGATTGGGATTAAGACATTTGGTGATTTTTTTTAATCTGTTTTTTGTCTTCTGGTTTTATTTTCTCTACAGATTCTGAAGTATCCTTCTACAGTCAGACTAGGAGCTAGCAGAAGAATAAACATACTTTCTGTCAAGGCATGTCTCCAGCAGAACTTTTCCCCTTTGTTTCCAAGGACTTGGCTTCTCTCATCATTTCCAGTGTATATGAGCAAAACACAGTATTATCATACGTCCCCGTGCAGCTTTAAGAAGAAGCAAAAGCAAGCAGTATTTCCAGCCAGGCCACCACGCACCATCAGTTACCTGCCTTACAGCCCAAAGCCAGCGTTATACATAACTCTGGCAGGACTAATCCCCTTCGTTGCTCCACCACTGGTCATGGTGATGACAAAGACTTATATCCCCATATTAGCTTTTACTCAGATGGCTTATGGAGCCAGTTTCCTATCTTTCTTGGGAGGGATCAGATGGGGTTTTGCTTTGCCAGAAGGTAGTCCAGCCAAGCCAGACTTCCTCAATTTAGCTAATAGTTTCACTCCTGTTGTGTTTTCATGGTTTGCCTTCTTTATTTCTGAGAGACTCAGTGAAGCTATAGTCACAGTAATAATAGGTTTGGCAATAGCATTACACAGTGAACTTTTTCTCTTGCCACATTATCCCAATTGGTTCAAAGCCCTGAGGATAGTAGCCACTTTAGTGGCCTTTCTTTCATTTGTAATAACTTTACTAGTTAAAGATATTTATCCAGAGAAAGGACCCAAGAGACCTGGGCGAACAGAATAAATATAAAACTCTGTAGATGACGTTAGGATGTTGGCTAGAAACCTTGTAAGGCTGTGTTTTGGCATCACCTTTTTCTCCTTCTGTTTAGCTCTTTTTTTCCCTCACCAATGGTAATTTATTCTTCACAAATTAGTTTTCATTTCTAGAAATCTTTACAGGAATCACTGAGAAGCAGCTTGAAAATCCCTAACAAGGCCTTTTCATGTCATTAGGTTACAGTTCTCATTATCTTTTTATGAATTAAATAGTCAGCCAGTTAATAGTTTCAATGTTTTGTTTTGAAAAATGTAAAATAAAAAAGATGAAAAATCCTTTTTGCTAGAGCTTTAAGATCACTGAAAACACATACACACACACATACACACATTCTCCCACTTTTTAAGAGGAAAATTTTGTATCTGTGAGGGTCTGAAAATAATAGGTTGTTCCAGTGGCTCCAGTGGAGCGGTCATTGCACTTGCCCCTGGGAAGTGCATTTCCAAGCTCATTTTACCTGGTATAACCTAGGTATATGAGCTGAAAAGATTTGTGGCTCTGAAGTCAGTGGGGAGCAATGTCACAAGGGGAAGCCATGTTCAAGAAAAGCCTGACACATTTTCCAGTTTTTATCAGCTATTTGGCGGAGTATAGATGCAACTTACCTCCAAACCAGCGGGTTAAAAATATTTAAAAGAATAAAGCCATTACTACATACAAGTAGGAAACTAGTCAAGCTGGAGCCATCTTAATGTTCTAATGAGTTGGACCATCTAGTTTTACAAATTAACTCACAGAGAAGCTTTTTTAAAACAACAAAAGCAACACCTTGAATTCTAACTTGAAAACCTAGTCTCTTGAGATGCTGAGTCTCATAAAAAAGGGAAAACATTTCAAATGTTGTAAGAATACAAATATATCACCTGGTGTGTGTTATCTTTGTATATGTATTCAAATATTAGGTAACTTAAATTTCATAAGTGAATTATATACATATGATTTCCACTTTAGTGATTCTTGGCTGTGAAGAGATCAGAATCTAAAGTGGTAACTTGTTTACTTTCTTACACACCTGTTACAGGTTGAATTGTCCATTCAAGTTCTAATCCCCAGTATCTCAGAATGTGACCTTACTTGTAGATAGGGTCTTTACAGAGGTAATAAGGTTAAAATGAGGTCATAAGGGTAGGCTGTAATGTAATATTACCTGTGTTCTTATAACAAGGGAAAATTTAGAGATAAACAAGTAGTTAGAATACCATGTGAACATGAAGACCATTATCTACATGCCAAAGAGAAGCCTGGAACAGATCCCTCCTTAGTTAGCCCTTAGAAGGAATCAACTCCACCAACACCTCGATTTCAGACTTACGCTTCCAAAACTGTGAGACAAAAATTCTGTTGTTTAAATTTCTGTGGTGCATTGTTAAAGCAGCCCTAGAAAACAAATATAACACTATAGAGCTATAGCTTGTTCTGATCATTGAGAAGCTTACCAGCTAAAGCCTGTGGCTGAAATCACATGATACTTCTTTACAAATGGACAGAATAGTTTACTGATACTGATATTGAATACTGAAAGAAAGCCTGATATTGAAAGAAAGAAAGCTCATATTCTTCAAAAGATCTCTCTCAGATTCTCAGATTAAGTGTTTCAGTGAGGAAGCCTGCTTCTTTGCTTCTCCTAAACTGCATAAGGACGATACAAATTTAAAACTTTTCTCTGATCTCAAATTCATTATCTTTCAGGATAGAAGCAAGTCATATTTTTAGGCTAATTGCCCAATTTCACTAAACAAATGCAGGTAAATGCATTTTGCAAATTACATTATGATTTTAAAGTACATTTGATTTTAAGAACAGTGGACAGGATATTTAGAAGCATATTGAATTGTTAAATATTTTGGAGGAACATCATGTTAATAGTTGCTCAGAAAACAGAATTAAATGTAAAACTAAATGTGCAAGTGCCTCAAATTAAAACATACTAAAAAACCTGAGCAATTCTACTACAGTTTGATAATCCAGGAATGCTGATAGTAAACTAAGTTAATAAGTAATACAAGGAAAAGCAAAAAAAAAAATCAGGATACTTTATTAGTACATTCTTTTTAAAACAAACAGTCATTACCTAGGAAATAAGCATATTTACAATTACCTGTTTTTAGGGATTGCCTGGGTTTATTAAGCCCAAACACTGATTGTCTTGATTACACTTCTGTCAAAGCAGTACAAAACAGCTTCCCTTCATATCCCATTTTAGGTTGGCACCAGGCAATAATGAAAATTAAATTATAGGGAAATTTGTAAATCTCTTTTGAACCAGAATGCAGATTCTCTATAACTAGAAATATTAAAGGCACATGAATTAGAGCCTAAATAGTTTACAAATTATCTTTTTTTATTTCTTTTTCCTTTTTTTCTTCTTTTTTTTTCTTCTTTTTTTATTTCTTTTCTTTTTTTTTTTTTTCTTCTTTTTTTTACAAATTATCTTGATACATCATTCCTTGACATTTTACAGATCTCAACCAGGCATCTGTAGACTTTCAGGGTATCCCAAAGAAAGGGACACAGAGCTTTGTACTACATAAGCTTTTCTTAATATATGCATATGATTAAGTTATGAAAGAAAGTATCCTTGTGGATTAATCCAAATATTTTGGATGTGAGTGCTACCTGAGTCTTTAATGCTTACCGAAGGTTTTCTATCTAAATAAGCTGCTGATGCTTGTAACAATATACTGAAGGACTTTACTAAAGAAAAGGGGAAGTCAGGAATATGCAGATCAAATCCTGAACAACTAGGTAAACCTTAATGTATAAGACCTTTAATACATGTGGCTCCGGCTGACTAGTAGAAATAACTTAAAAGTAATGAATGTATATGAAGAATCTTCCTCTCAGAACTGGACAGAGAACAATTCTTTAGAATGCTTCTCTGGAGGAAAATGAGAAGTTCTGAGAAGCAGTTTTGGATCAGCCTTTTCAACTGACACTTATGAGTTAGGGTCTATAAAAAGTTTTACAGCTCACACTTAGACTTGCTCAAGTACAAATAAGCTTCATGAAACTTGATAATCTAATAAAACTCCCTCTTCCCAAAGCCAAACAGATATTTTTGGTGACTATTTAGAAAATAGGTGCATATAACCATCTGGGCTCTATCATCCATTACATCATCCTATCGCAATAAAAGACTGTCACTAAGAACCTCCTATTAATACCTAACTTGCATTCCAGCATCAACACAAAAACATAAGTGAGCAAAAGATTTTTTTATGTTGTTATCAACAAGCAAAAACTTAGCTATCTATATAAATAGCTAGATATTTCCCATATATCTACTGCCAATAAGTTTGAGGCTAGTGAAAACTCCTGGATTAAAATAAAAGTAGGAAGTTGTTTCATTAGCTTTTCTCTGTAGGGTAAACTATGGCCATGGAAAAATGTGCTCTGGATTGAATCATGAATATACAGACATTTTAAAAGTGTTTCATTGACATTTTTACATCACATAAGGGTCATATTCCAGCACGAAGTGTACTGGAGAAGCAGCTAAAGGGGCTATTTGCCAAGAAGCTCCTAGCAAATTGTTATTTTACAAATAGAACTCTACCCCTAACTGGACAATTCTAGAGCATAAACAGAATTTATATTGGTAAGCTTGGCAAATTTGTGTGAGCTCTTTATTAATTTAGGACATATTCCATATCACTTCTTACTCAGATTAAAAAAAAATCATTCTTCAGTCATTTATCTACCCAATTCACAAAAAACTCAATAGAATGAAAGGGTCTGATCACCAAATACTAGTGTGATTTGCAACAGGTCAGATCTTGTATTTTCAAAATGTTTTTTGTGCTCTCTTATGCTTTCTATTTCACAGTACAGCAATACCTCCTTCACAGCGACTGGTGATCATGTTACCAATTTCTGTCCACGTATCTGAATGAGGGTTATAAACTTCAACTGAGTCCAGGGTACCTGGGGCCAAGAAATCATGGCTAGAAGATCGACCTCCAGAAACATACAGAAGTCCGTTGACTGCCACAACACACATGCCTGCTCTAGGCACTTTCATTGAAGCAACTTCAACCCACTTTTCCTGGTTAAGAGAAAAAAGAAGTTAGCAGTGTCATAACATGACAGTAGAGAAAAGGGCTGAGAAGTCAGATACCCAGGTTCTTTTTACATGTTTAAATTTCAAACTCACAATCCAATCATATAAGAATACAAAACATTTTTAATTGAAAATTTTAGTAGGTGTAGACAAATGAGTAAATTTGGAGGAAAGTAATGAAAAACATGTCTGTGATTGATTGTAAATTATGATCACCAGGAGATAATCTAAAAATTCTATATAGGCAGGAATTGAGAAGCTAGTTCTGTGAACTACAAGTAGGTAATCCAAACACATACAACACACACAAATCCACAGAGCTCTAAGGAGAAAAAAGCTTACAGAAGGGCTTTTAAAAATCTTTAATATAGCACAGGGAAATATACACAA